TAATTGGCGTGTGTTCACAAAAATGTCACAATGTTGCACCGTGTTTAAAAGCAAGAATGTGTTAACAGATCGTTGTGCTAATCACACGGTCTAATGTATGTGCTAATTCATATATATATACCTATTTATATATATAATATATATATAATATATATAATATATATTTTGATATATAATATATATATATTACATTTATTATATATATATTATATTTATATATAGATATAGGCCTTATTATTTTTATATATTTAGGCCTTAGTACAAGGAGGTGTGATGTCCACCGTGGTTGTTTAATATATTTATAGATGGGGTTGTAAGCAGAAGTTAATGCCGAGGGGTCTTGGCCAAGAGGCGTGGGTTAAAAGATAAGAATCACACACAAAGGGGAGTTTGTCACAAGCTGCTCTTTGTGTTGACACTGTGCTCTTGCGGAGATTCTGAAGAGTAAGTTGCAGAGATTGGTGGTTGATTTGGTTTAGGGTGTGCAAAAGAAGAAAAATTAAAGGTGAATACAGGAAGAGTAAGGTTAGAGGATAACAAACAAGATAAGGTGATGAAAGATTTTTTTTTGAATATCAGATGGTGGAGAGAGTATGGAGGAGGTGAACGTATTTTTCAGATATTTGGGAGTGACGGGTCAGCGGATGGGTCTATGAAAGATGAGGTGAACATCATAGAATTGTGAGGGAAAAAAAAAGTGAGTGGTGCCACTTAGGAGTTCTGTGGAGACAAACGAACTTTGTCCTTGGAGGCAAAGAGGGGAATGTATGAGGAGTATTGTTTTACCAACGCTCTTATCTGGGTGTGAAGCGTGGGTGATGAATGTTGCATCGAGGAGGAAGGCTGGAGGCAGTGGAGATGTCATGTCTGTGGGCAATGTGTGGTGTGAATATAATGCAGGAGAATTGTTAGCTTGGAAGTGAGGAGGAGGTGCGGATTACCAAAACTTGTTGTCCGAGGGGCTGGGAAGGGTTGTTGAGGTGGGTTCGCAGCAGTAGAGAAGAATGGAGCGAAACAGAAATGACTTCAGAGTGGATCAGTCTGTAGTGAAGGGAAGGCGGGGTAGGTGAGGTCGGTCCTGGACGGGTTGGTAGGGAGGGGGTAAAGGAGGTTTTGTGTGTGAGGGGCTTGGACTTCCAGAAGGGGCTTGCGTGAGCGTGTTTTGAATAGGAGTGAATGGAGACAAATGGTTTTTAAATACTTGTCGTGCTGGTTGGAGGTGAGCAAAGTATCATTTATGAAAGGGATCAGGGAAAAACCGGCAGCGGACTTGAGTCCTGGAGGATGGGAAGTACAGTGCCTCCACTATGAAGGAGGGGTGTTAATGTTGCAGTTTAACAACTGTAGTGTTTAAAGCACCCTTTGCAAGACAGTGATGGACGTGGAATGATGGTGAAAGTTTTTCTTTTTCGGGCCTCCTGCCTTGGTGGGAATCGGCCGGCTATTGTGATAATAAAAAAAAAAAAAAAAAAAAAAAATTATAATATATATTATATATATATATAGTCATCAAAACGGCCGTATCCCCTGGGCAGGGTGGCCCAAAAGAAAAACAAAAGTTTCTCTTCTTTAAATTTAGTAATTTATAAGAAGGGTTTACTAGCCCCTTTCTCCCGGAATTTTAGATCGCCTTTACAACACGCATCATGGCTTACGGAGAAGAAGAATTCTGTTCCACTTCCCATGGAGATATGAGGAAACATAAAACGAGAACAAGAACTAGAAAGAAAAATAGCCAGAAAACCAGAGGGGTGTGTATATATATGCTTGTACATGTATGTGTAGTGTGACCTAAGTGTAAGTGAAAGATAGCAAGACGTACCTTGAAATTCTTTGCATGTTCATGAGACAGAAAAAAGGACGCCAGCAATCTACATCATGTAAAACAATTTACAACGGCTTTCTTTTACACTCACTTGGCAGGGACGTAGTACTTCCTGGGCGGTTGCTGTCTACCAGCCTACTACCTATAATTATTAATATATATACGTGGACCATCGTTTGTTCGTAATTATCCGTTCTGGAGCCGTTAATATAAACGAAATTTTCGATTTACAAAGCAATTTTCCCCATAAGAAATAATCTGTAAAATACAATTAATCCGTTTCCTTGACACCCAGAAGTATTTAAAACAAAAAAATTTTTTAACATGAAATATGCATGTAGTACATAAACAATACAATGGGAAATGATGAATGAAAACATTAACAGCGTAACACGTTACCTTTGTTGGAAATTCTTCTTAGTGCATGGGAGACTGGAGGAGGTGAGAGAGTGGATAGTTTATAGTTTGGAAGCGGAACTCCCCTTCCTCAACACCTCAGGTACCATTTGCTTTGCTGGGGTTGCTTCTCTTCTCTGTTTCTTAATGCACGTAGGACCACCTTGAGAGTCACTGGATTCCTTGTCTCACAAAATAAACTGTGGGAGAGAGCTCTGTTTCTGGCATCTCTTTAACACTTCCCTAAAATGGCCCAGATTTGTCACTGTTCATGTTGCCAAACTGGCTTGCAAACAAACTTGTTAGGTGATGTTTCTCCAGAAAGCTTTCCATCTTACCCCACATAGTAAAAATCTCTTTGAATTTCTGAAGAAGGCACCTTTCTTTCCATCTCTCTTCTCCTCCTCTGCAGCAAGATTCTGAGCTGCTATGAGTTGGCTCTTCCTGCTGAAGCTCTTGCAGCCTCCTCGGTGGTGAGCTCTTCTTGTGGTCTTCCACAATTCTTCCACATCCTCAAAACTCACATCCAACCCCATGGAACTCCCAGGCCATCATTGATTTTCAATAGACATAGGCTCATTAGGGTCAGTCCCAAATTCTTCAAAATCCCTCTTGTGACCACCCCCCACAATTCCCCCTTTTGGCCACAATTTTCTCCAGGCAGAGTTCAAAGTCCTGGTAGTCACTCCCTCCAAGCCATACCTATAAGGGTTATGCAGTGAGGATGCTGAAGTGTTCTCTCTAAAATTCCCTTAGGGTTAAGTGAGTGTATGTGGTCCAGTCGAGCCTGTGAACATTGCTTTTGTGTAGAGTTTTTTAAAGTTTTGCCATAACTGTGGGTCATGGGTTGGAGGAGTGGAGTGGTTATTCGGGGGCAAGAACTTTTTACTGTGATGAACCCATCCCTCGAAAATGAGGTCATCCAAGTTTGGGGGATATGAGCAGGGTGCGTTTTGTCATTCTAGTGGACACTTGGATCACACTTTCTTTTCAGGAGATACTCATTCAAACTAGGGCCAACACTTCATTGAACCATTCGACGAAATTTTACGCTCGTGACCTATGCACAGACTATTAGATTTACAAAACACACGCAATTTACTCTTCATCAACATTGTTTTCCCTAACACGCGGGATTTTCAGAAATGGTGAACACTAGTAATTGCTTCACTTTGAAATCCCCACTGCTTTGCACAGAACATTAGCGTCAGCCTGTCTTTTATGAGGCCTTGTGTATCCGGCATTGCCGTTTTCCTATGTGTGAATGAATGTCCTCTTTGGCATTTTCTTACAAATGAGGCAGTTTCATCTCAAGCGAACACTTGTTCAGGTGTCAGTCCTTCAGCCTCTATGTTGCTCCTGGGATTCTGCACATAGTTGGCTAGCCAAATTGTGGTTCAAACTGGCAGCCTCACCATGCCTATACCACACTGTGTATTGCCAGTACCGGTTATTAAATATCTCTCAAACCAGCCTAGGGTTGGCCTTTCTTAAATTCAATCACTTCACCCTATTTGCAGGCCATTTATTTTCCAAATCTTCATTGCAACTGCCTAGCCTTTTTCACAAATAAACGAAGTCATGAGAGTATCTCCTGCTAATTGTTTCTCATTTATCCACACCAATAATAACTTCTCAACCTCTTCCAGTACTGGTGATCTCATTTTTGTCAGCATAGTTACTCCCTTTTCAACAACAGCATCCTTTATTTCATTTTTCTTGGCCACTATGGAACATAAGGTTGTGTAGGGTTTCTTATACATCCTGGACAGTTCGGCCACACTTGTACCACTTTCATATTGTTCAATGATGGTTTTTTAATTCAATCGTATTTCTCACCTTCGTTTACCACAGGCTTGGCACTAGGAGCTTTCTTTGGAGCCATGGTAGCTTATTTAGTACTTGCAAGCACTAAAATAAATGGAATATTATGAATTATTTTGCTGGAGCACGTGAGGGGACCTTCGCTCACTGGTAAACAATGCCAGACTGGCTGCCGCCCTGGCTCATGCTGTGGGTACACGTCCCGGACGAACTACGACTCACGAGTCAACCTATGAAAAGCGAGTCCATGTTTATACGAAAATACCTCTATGATTGGCGAATTTTACAATTGCCGGGAACTACGAAAAGCGGGGGACCACTATTATATATATATATATTATATATATATATATATATAATTATATATATATATATATAATTATATATATTATATATATAATGTGTGTGTGTGTGTGTATTTGCTTTGTTTAATTTCTGCCTTATTGTTGGGATATGATATCTATTAGCCCCCATAATAGATTTTGGAATAATTCTACACTGGAGTCCCTGGAGGTTGAGTGAGGTAATGTGTGTTTCCATTTTCCACAAGAAACCCCTTTATCACTAGAGAACTGGAAGATAGTGCCCAAATTAAGCCTATATAATGTAGTTTATAAACGTGCATCTAGGCGCATCAAAAATCACTTCTTTCCCATAGTCTGAGCCAAATAACAGGCTTTTGGGAAATAATGTTTATATATATCTAGTCTACATATAGCTATTTGTATAGACAATATTCGATATATACAATACAAAAACTAAATACAATACCTATATTTATATTTATATATATAATATTTATATAATATATATATATAATATATACATATATATATATATATATATATAACTATATATATATATATATATATATATATAATTATATATATATATATATATATATATATATATATATATATTATATATATATATATATATATAAATAGTTGTGCATACAACAATTTTGGGCATTTTATAAATACAAAAATGATTTTTTTTCAGATGTTGTAATACTGTAAGAGTAATAGTTTAGTACAACTTTAGGGAAATGTTAGATAGTGTCCCTGCGCACAGGTGAGGGAGGCACGATAATGGTAGGTGTAGGCAAGGGTAGAGATGAGCACTGCTGGGTAGGTGGCATGACTTTTATCATTGCCATTCCCTGTTGTCTCAGTGGGCACTGATGGCACACTGGTGTTGGAGATGATGGTATCCTGATGGGTGGATATGGAGGAACCACTGGCTAGGGTCTCCTCAGTGGTGGGGTGGGGATCGGAGACATGTGGGGTCTCCTGCTGACGTGATACAGGCGTTGCCCCAAGTGGGAATGGAGACGGGCACACACTGTTAAGAGGCGAAGATGAATTATGATAGCGGGCCATATAATGGTGGATGGATGTTTTGGCCAGCAGACATCAGCATAAGGAAATTTATCTTAGCCTGATTCGGCTTAGGACATTTTGGCCAGGTATTCTGGAGAGGGCAAAAATTTCATCCCTGTTAGGTTAGGTTAACCTAAGTTCTTGGCTAAGTCAGCCTAATGTAGGTTAGGTATGAATGCTGCTTAGTAGGTTAAGCTAGGATGTTAGGGTAACTTCGAGTATCGGTTCAGTAATAATTTATAATTTAACATTTTCAGTATTAGATGGGTTATACAGTGAAATTTTGTATTGTTCGGAGCTTATGGGGAGCAAAACAGTCGCATTAGTTGCTCGTGTTCCTTTATCTGACAAAATTTCGACTAGAATCAAAATTGAAGAAGGAATATTAACCTATCTCCATTAAAAAAAATATTGTCCACTTTTATATCCAAATAATTCCTAAAGTCATCTTAACCTAACTTAACTAAGCCTACCATTAACTAATGCAACCTAATATATATTTATAATACACAGTCTTAAAAAGTAAATTTACAACTATCACACTCAGGAAAGATAAATGTGCACGAGGTGTGAATTTGAAAATAATTCAATGTGATTTGTCAAGCACGTCAGGTGACTAGATACTGTTGACTAGCAGTAGAAAAGCTGGCTGTAACGACCCATTAATGTTTGCATAACAAATTCCAAACAATTTGCACAAGGAAACGACTATTTTTTGCTGTGGTATGGATAGTTTTTCGTATTAAAAATAAAATGATGAAAAAGTTCTAACCCAAAGTTGAAGTAAATATTAGCTGGGTCAATTAGGTGAAGTTATGTTAGGTATGGATGCTGGTCATTTATAAATGACAATTTTTCCCTCACAATAATTCTAGGCCAAATCGTTAAGGCTGAAAGGTCTATTAGCCAAAACATCCTACAATCCCTTGAACAAGGCTACTGTGGGGAATGAAAGGTTGTTGGGTGTTCAGGAAGAAAGGGTGTTGGACACAGGCATAAAATGACTGAACTTGCAAAAAACCGTGTAATGGTGCATATCCATTCAATGGGAATATATCTTTCAAGGTATAAAGCTCTTGATACAAGGAATTGTAGTTACACTCCCCTTCTTTAAATCAGACTTGATTACTGTACTTCCATTCACTAGGTGCTGTATGACCATTATGGGTTTAGCATTTCATTATAATAAATAATTATACTAAGTGGAAGTCATGTTTAGTAAAACAACAGAGCCCACTACAGTGAAAGTGAGAAAAATAACTGGTGACATCAAATATATATAAATCCCCGATTTAAAAAAGAAAAGTGATTTTTTTTGTGAAATTTATATTAGCTTTGTAAGTTTTTAATATGACAGACATAAATGCGACTTGAGTAAATTATTATAATTGAAAATAAATGATAAACCTTCTCAGGTCATATGCACTGCAGTAGTAGTAAATTTGGCAAATGTGGTGAAGTTTAAGGTTAGATGTGCAAAATAAATCATTTTATGTAAAAGGTCAGTGTTAGTCATAAAATCTACTTTGGAAGTAGGGCTGCAGTGAGGAGGGTGGGGTAAGCAAGTTCATTTGTGTTACATACGACAGTTTATTGTGCTCGATTGACAGTCTTGCAGAGATGTACTTGGTCTCTCTCCTTGAGGCCCCTCGGGGGAGGTTCCTTGACGCTGGTGAGGGGCTCTTGATCTAGGGAATTGGTTCTGTGCTCCGGTTCCCTGAATTGAATCTGAATACCTTCCATCCCGCCCCCCACATGCGCTGTATAATCTCACGGGTTTAGCCCTCCCCATGATTATAATTATAATCTCTCCTTGAGGTACCCTTGCGAGTTGTGCGTTTCTGATTCATAATCATGGGAGGATAGTCTCCCATATACATCAGTGGTTTAATGGAAAGCAGTGATTTGTAACTTGAACCAACACTGTTGCCAGTAATTTCAAAGCTACTGAGAAATTATTGGTAGACAACCTGTAAAAGACTGGTTTGTGAAATAGCAACATTCCCACTTGTTGAGTTAGGAGTGTCAGCATATCCGAATAGTACTGCCAATGGCATATACCTGGAGAAGGTTTCGGGGGGTCAACACCCTCATGGCCCGGACTGAGACCAGGCCTCGTGGTGGATCAGGGTTTGATCAACCAAGTTGTTACTGCTGGCTGCACGTAAGCTGACGTACAAACCACAGCCCGGCTGGTCAGGTACTGATTTTAGGTGCCTGTCCAGTGCCTTCTTGAAGACAGCCAGGTGCAATAGCTTCTCAGCCTAGTTGGTGTCTTTCACTTTGGTGATGCACTTCCTGCTTTCTAAATGTAAGGAAAAAATGTCTTAACCAGTGGAAGACAAAATTCTTTGTCCATCATGTATTAAGTACCCTGAGTTTGAGAGTGAAGATTTTTGCCCATTAATGAAATTTATAGATATTCTGTAGAAGAGGTTTTCAGATGGTACGACATCTTGAGTGTGGTGTGGTGCGTATCAGTGCACAGTTTCTGTGGTTTGGTTGGGAAAGCCATGCGCCATCTGCCCCTGGATACCAAGATGACAAAAATCATTAGCGCATTATGGAAGAACCTGGGTTCATGGTCAGGGTAAAGTGAGGGGTCACAGGTACTATAGTGTCAGGTTGAACGTGGGTATAAAGTTCAGGCATCGAGTGATTGCCCAAAACTAATTCTGGGTTCTGTGGAAGGCCCATGGCTATGCTAGGGTTTGTTAAGGGTGCTGTAGTTACTAAAGGACTGGAGAACTGATTTGATCTTGCTAAGCATTATATTTTTAATGAAAGAAAGGGGGCAGCTCCAAGGACAAATGAAAAAGAAACCATGTACCCACCCAAAACAACTATCAACCTCAGTGTGGTAACTAAGTGCTGATGTCCCCTGGAAACTGCCTTGAAACCTACCTGACACACCAGGATGGCACCTCCAGAAATAAAAGCTAGGCCATCAGAAATGTTAGTTCTACACTAATGACTACCAACCCCAAAGCTGCAAGCAATCTCCAACAATATTTGTCATCCGAGGACATTCGCAGTCGTCATGCAATGTCACTGGAGGGCCACCCAGCATGCTCAAAATAATCTAATTCCCATTTCACAACAGCATTACTAAAGTCTAAGTTAGAACAGGGCTGATAATCCTCTTGTCCTCTGTCTAGGAGATAAAGTTCATGAGGAGATAATTTCCCCAACAATGAGACCAAATGGAGAGAGGGAGAGGGGGGAGATTGGGGTATTTAGATTTGGTCCAAGGAATGGGGCACAAGATCATAATTATTACAACCAAAACTAAACGCAAAATCACTAGGGTCATATAGCGCTGCGGGGTAGAGGCTATGAGGTAGGTGAAGACTGCTAAAGGAAGTATAATCAAAGGTTGTGTATAAATCTGTTGCTGTCAAAAAGTCATGAGGAAGTCTGTGTCAAGGGTGGAGCCATCAACAAGGAGCGAAGATAAAGCAAAAGGCGTTAGAGTGGCGATTACATCCACGGTAAATACTTGTGAAGGCTTACTCAGCCCTGTAATAACTTCAGACAGTATTACTCAGGCTGGCTCCTCCTCAGGAAAATTAATGAATAGAAAAAGAAATAATAACAGACAAACATAAACACTATTATACAGAAAATATAAAATATAAAACACTTAAATATGAAATATTAATGTTACATTAAAGAAAATGAAAAATGAAAAATATAAATAACTGAATTCAACGCTAATATATATAGGGGTGTCTGGTGTTGGTGATACTGTTGTTGAAATCGTAGCCGTTGCTGATGATGGGGGGGGGGGGGGGTTGCAGGTGTTGGTTACGACCCACTGGCTAGTTCTTCACAGTATAGCCGTGAGTATTATATACCGATGACAGGAAAGCAGGTTCTTTACCGCTGCAATGATGTGGGGTTACGTCCTGCAATTTCATACAAGTGCACAGGTAATTAAATCCAAAATGGGACGTCTCCAGGACGTTAGTCCGTCTCCATCAGTTCTTCTCGTTGATTAACAGGTGACCCTCTCTGTCATCCAAGCTGAAAAGATAGACAGGTTACCCACTGCTTAAATAATCACTCTCCATGATAAGTACAATACCTAAAAGATGTGGTGATTATTACAACAGTCAACTTAGAGCAAGGCTGAAAAGACTAAGTTTATTATTGGTCCAAAGTGAAGCTTTCAACCAATAAATCCACTAGAATACAAGGCAGGCATGTACTTAAAGTAGTGTTGGGAACTGTGAGTCGAGTGATTTACTGTTTGACCAGAGCCCCACACGTCACCTTTCGGGGGGGGGGAAGAGGGAGGGGAAGGGATAGTGGGAGCTAGACTGACCCTACGTTAACAAGCAGCCAGCAATCAAACTATCACTTTACGGGTGGGGGAGAAAAGGCGGGAATAGCGGGAGCTGGACTTACCCTACCTTAACAAGTAGCCGGCAAGCAAACTATCACTTTTGGGGAGGGGGAAAAAAAGGCGGGAATAGCGGGAGCTTGACTTACCCTACCTTAACAAGTAGCTGGCAATGAAACTATTGTTACTATATATTCCCTCGCTACTCCTATCTATTGAACTTTTCCCTTACACTCCCCCATATCAAGACTTATAGTCAAGGAGTATAAGAAGAATAGGCGAGGAAAAAGTTCTAACATGTGGAAGTCGCGTAAGGCAAGAAATCTTCTACTGACTGTCATGACTTAACCAGTCAGAGAAATAATTGGATGAACCATTGATATACACAATATGGAACTTAAACGCCTGGAGTGCCAATGTCCACCTCAAGAGGTGACTGTTGGTTCCCTTAAAAGTTTCTAGGTATATCAAAGGTTTGTGGCCCGTTTCTAAAATGAATTCTTTTCCCAGCAAATAAAATTTAAGTTTAGAGATTCCCCACACAAGGGTCAAACATTCCTTTTCTATGGTGGAGTATCTCGTTTCTGCAGGAAGGAGTTTCCGGCCTAGGAAGCATA